CAGTCCTATACCCAAGGCCATTAATGTAATGGGGATGGATATCGTCGTCCCTCTGCCATCGGCCCCAGGTAAAGCTAAGTTCATTTTATTTATGACTGACTATTTCTCTAAATGGGTTGAAGCACAAACGTCCTAGAAAGTGAGAGAGAAAGAGGTTATAGACTTCATCTGGGATCACATCGTATGTCAATTTGGGATACCCGCCGAAATAGTGTGTGACAATGGAAGATAATTTATCGGCAACAAAGTAATGAAATTCCTCGAAGACCACAAAATAAAAGGTATATAATCAACTTCGTATCACCCTAGTGGGAACGGACAGGCCGAATCGACAAACAAGACTATCATTCAAAACTTAATGAAAAGGTTGAACGACGCTAAGGGGAAGTGGAGAGAAATTCTACCCGAAGTCCTTTGGGCATATCGAACAACATCAAAGTCCAGTACGGGGGAAACCCTGTTCTCCTTAATATATGGCTCCGAGGCCTTGATTCCAGTCGAAGTCGGGGAACCTAGCGCCATATTTTGACATGGAATAGAAGAATCAAATCACGAGGCTATGAATACTAGCCTCGAACTATTGGATGAAAAACGAGAAGGTGCACTCGTTCGCATGTCTTCGCAAAACCAAAGATTCGAGAGATATTATAATAGAAGAACCAACCTTCGCCACTTCAGAGCCGGGGACTTAATTCTGAGGAAAGTCACCCTCAATACTCGAGACCTGAACGAAGTAAAACTAGGCCCAAATTGGGAAGGACCATATCGGGTCCTCGGTGTCATCGGATAGGGATCTTACAAACTTGTCACAATGGAGGGCAAACAATTTCCAAACAATTGGAATATATCACTACTCAAAAGGTATTATTGTTAAGGTATGATTTTCGCCCTTTCCATTTGTATTTGGTACTAACCTATTGCAGGTGTTCGATCGAAGACGTCGTGAAACTCTTCAACACGAGGACCTTAGGTTTTAAAGCACGGGTTGCACTCTTCTTGCACTACTCAAAAGGTATTATGAGATTTCTCCTGCGCCTTCGAACCAGGGCCTTTTTAGGTTGGGGGTCTTCGGACTCGAGACCCTCTTCCTCTTGCAATCTTTCCCGACTTTGTAATCAGGGAATCGACATCTTTCCCAAGCGGGGCTAGCCTCATTTCAGCAACATCTCCAAGGCTTGCATAAATGAGAGTCAAGTATAAATAAGGAGAAACATTACAGAAAAAGGCATCGAAAGCTTACAGGATAAACTTACCATGATTCTTGGCTTCCCATCTGCCCTTTGCCAAGTCAAGCCAGCAGCGCTCGGCATGGGAGGAAGTCGAGACCAACTTCCGAACCCAGTCTTTGAGGTCGGGGACCACATGAGGCATCCAAGCAACCGCTGCATAATGGATAAAGGCATTACATAAAGCAAAAAATAGAGTATGAAGACTAATGGGAAATATGTTACTTACGGTCGGGGTTCCACTTCTCGAGGAACGGCAGTTTCTCCTCTAGGATGAGGTCGCAGGTCCTTACCCTCACGAACCGGCTCATCCAACCCCGGTCCTTGTCCTCATCAATGCTCGCGAAAAAGGACTTCGTTGATTGGCGTTGGAGCTTGATTATTCATCGAAAAAGTCGAGGTCGATACAACCGTATGAGGTGGCTGAGAGTGAATTCCAACCCCTTGGCCTTGCTAGAAAAGAAGCGAAGCATGATCACTATACGCCAAAACGAGGGATGAACCTAGCCGAGGGTGACCTGGTACCTTTTGCTAAAATCGACGATAACTGGGTCAAAAGGACCCAATGTGAAGGAGTAAGTATAGACACTTAGAAACCCCACCTATGGGTGGTAATACTCTCTTCGTGAGCAGGGATTTGTACCACGACCTCGGCCCCCCAGTTATAGTCTCTCTTCACAGCCTTGAGATGGCTCGCCGTTATCGAGCAGATATATCTCGACACGTGTTCACATCAGACAGGGACCGACGGAGGGTTCTCGACTTTGAAGTAAGTTTTAAGACACAAGGGTCGGGAACGTACTCGTGAAGGAGCGGTTCCACCGGCATTTTGTCACCGGCCGGCCGGGAAGAAGAGGAAGAAACTTTCTCCTTTTGTGGGATAGTCTTGGAGGTTTTCGCCATTGATTCAGGTAGAAGGAAGCGGAAAGAGATAAAAATTGGTATTTTTGGTGCTAATTAAGTTGACTCAATGGGTGGTGAAAGAGAAGAGATAGAGATAGTAAAGAACTTATAAAACTTGATGAGAGGCGAAAGTAAAATTTGATTCAACCAAAGAGCCTGAATTTATAGATACACGGCGACAGTTCGGTGGTGCTAGTGGCCGACCATCACTGGCAAGCATCAATGGTTTGGGAACTGTACCGACGGGACATTTCGATCACTTCGATCGCTTACATCACGGGGATGACATCATTATCAGGGTCTCCTAAAAATCGAGGCTCAAGTCGTTTCTTATCGTTTTTCTCTAAGAAACGAGGGGACTATCTGTGTACGGTGGAAATCGGGGCTACCCGATTTCATTCTTTGGTCGAGATAGGAATGTCACGTCAAAGTGCTAGGATGTCGAGTTAGGGCCGAGGTCGACCTCGATGGCGGACAGAAAGAGGCAGACTTCGAGGGACATCGACATGGCTTGATAACGGAAAAGGCGAGATATCCGCGATTGATCGAGAATCGTGGCGTGAATCTCGGAACGGATCGATCTGCAGCGGTTAATTAGATGTTAATATGATAGTTCTATATAAAGAGGGATCCCATTCATTTGTAGGCGGAATTCATAATTCACTAATAAGAATACACACATCCACTGCTCTTTTTACCTTGCTTACCGTTCGTTACTATTCATCATTGTTGTTTCATTTCTTCACTGTTATTATTACTGCTCTATCTCGAGACCGTCTTGAATCGAGGTCGAGACTTCACTCGCATACTGGTTTGATCTACCCTATCTCTTAATTTATCTATTTTATTCCTTGTTTATGAATTGGTATTGAATTAAGTAACATATGCTTAAAACCACAATATAAGTTTAATTGTTACTCGAATTTTAGGGTAAACAGAGGAAATATATATAAGGAAAAACGAAATCGCCATCATGCTCTGCATTTATAGAACGCATTTAACTCTAGTAATTGTGCTCAACTGAATCTTGGATTTAGGGAAACGGATGGTGAGAAAAAATCGCCATTTCCATCAAACCGATAGTCAATATTCAAGCCTCTTTCCCCTCTTCTATCCTTCTATATTTTCTTCGATAAATAGGCTTTCAAAATAAAGTACAGAAATAAGCTATCAATTTTCATTAAGTAATTATTAATGTTCTTAGGTATGTGGCCTACTGTGACCGTGCTAGAAACGATACAATGAGAATTATGAAGTACAGATAATTAAAGTTGTCAATTTTGTCAAAAAGTAGCATTATTCACTTTGTTAGAGCATGAATACAAAATAAATAAGAAGGGATAAATGATAATCTACATAGGATTAGGGAACAAAACACCATGATAAAGTACGGAAAGATATTAGATATGTCACCTTAAAATCATTTATAAATTAGTTATATGAAATTCTTGTATTAAATGTAAGTTTATTACCTAAAATAAGGTAAGTAACATGTTACTGCTAGTTATAAATATAAACTACATTAATACTAGGGTAAAAAAAGTTACGTAATTGGTGTATATAAATTAAATTTGTATTGAAAAGCTTACATGCAAAGCGAGATACAAATATATTAAGTCCTTCTAACTTTTCCAAAAACATAATATGGAGGAATGTCCATTTAACGACATAATTAGTTGAAAGAAATATTTCTCACTTATGAGTTCTGATTAAGGTGATCATTCTCAAATTTACACGATCAACAAGAAATGCATTATGATAAATAGAGAGACTAGGTGAAACATAATCTATGATCAACAGAAATAAATGTATGTATTAAATGTTTTTTTTTTTCGTTCTTTGTTTTTATTTTTCAGTAGAGAGATAAGGGTTGTTTGGTTGGAAACAACTTATTCCAGGATTAGTTATCCCACCCTCTCATAGGGATAAAAGAATACTACAATCTGAGATTAGTTATTCTGCGATTTTATCCCAACCAAATATGGGATAAGCTCATTTCAAATTTAATCATGTGATTAATTATTTGTTATCCCTCGTACCAAACCATCCCTAAGTGTATCGGAATTATGCAGGAAGAAATCTTGGAGAGGCGTGAATCCAGTAAAATTTGAGCTGTATGGTGTCTGTTTTATGAGTGAAGAAGCTGTAAACCGTTTCACCATATTCCTATATGTGGAGGATTTTCTTTTAACCGTTGGGTGTCTAAAGCTTCAATATTGAAGGATTTTCCATTCTCATGATTAAAAAGTCGAAATCTTTGGTTAATGATATAAGCGGATTCAATATTAAGGTTTTAGGTGTCGAACTCATTGTACTTTTAAGTTATGAATTCAAAATTCAATTAACGGCAGCTCGATATATAATGCATTCCGTATTCAAGCAGAGTCTTTAAAGTCTGGGGAAGGACCGCACCCTAAAGGGTGTAATGTAGATAATCTACTGTATTACAAGTATTAGTGGATGTTACCGCGATAAATTCAACAATTTTACCATTACTTCAAGGTTCCCTTCCGAATTCAAAATTCAATATTTGTTGAATTTTAATAAATTTACGTACCAAAATATTAAACTATTGAACCATAGTCAATATAAGTTTCAACATCGCCCTAGAAAGAAAAAAACTTGAACAACTACTCTCTTTGCCA